GCAGGCTGTGAAAAAGCTCTGTGACATTGACGTCGCCAAGGTCAACACCTTGATCAGGCCTGACGGTGAGAAGAAGGCATATGTTCGACTGGCTCCTGACTGACATTTTAGATGTTGCCAACAAAATTGGAATCATCTAAAGTGAGCCCGGCTGGCTAATGCTAAATATAAACGTTTTCAAGATATAAAAAAGAAAGAAAGAAAGAAATGCCCTGTCCACGGGGCCTTTCCGTTGGGGCTCAGACTTGGTTGCATTTATTTGCAGTTTTCAGAGCTGAAGCAATTACTATCTCCAGATACCTGAAGTGTACCAGAAATTAGTTCAATCGTTTCTTCTTTTCCTCCGGCCTCGTGAGATAGCACCATTTATAAACTAAGGAACATGGCTTCCATCGCCTGGGCTCTTATTGGCTTTACGATGCTGACATAGTTAGAACTCAAGCATTATATGAAGTGGAGTTGTCTCTGAACAAATTTTGAATAGGTTTGTTTGAATGGCTGCTTATTCAGTTGATATTAGAGTCTTTTCTTCACTGTGGGCGGTCACAGACTGTGCCTCCCCTTAGTTCATGGTCTTAGGAACTCTTTGTCTAAGATCTGGGCTTATCTAATGTCCAAGTCTAGATTACGTTTATTGATTTTGATAGCCCAATTTATTAGTTTTAATTTGCGTTAAAAACTGTTGGAGCTATAAAAACATAATATTGAAACTTGCGGTAAAAATTATCTTATTATTGTACATTTGAAACTCTTTAGCCCTTAATCCCTTTTCCCCCTTGAAATAATTGTTTTTACAATAATCTTTTGATAATATGAGGTTTCTCAGGAATGCAGCTATAACAACTTAGCAAAACAAACTATATTGTTTTTAATTAAACAAAAACAGGTTACAATAAGAATAAAGTGTGACCAAAAGAAAAACACAATAGATGTAATTTCTGTTTTGCAGAAATAGAAATCGGGGCCTCAGAAGAAAAACCTACGGAAGAGTGTGTAAGCTTCTAAAGGAAATGAGTAAGAAGAGGGATCGGAAGGGACTGGAGAGATTCAATTCTGGAGTTCTGAGAATGGAGCGCCTGGGTGATGATGCAAGCAGTCCATGTGCTTGATTTCCAACCCCAAAGATTGGAGGGTCCTGTCTACCCAGAGGTACCTCACCCAAAAGGCGTGGTCATCTACTTCTGAAAACAGAGCCGTTGAAGACTCCATGGAGCACTGTTCGACTCGACACAGAACGTCACTCTGTGTGAGAACTGATGTAGCTGTGTCACCTGAGTAGCTGAGAATGTAAGCTCCTGAAGGAGAATTAATATATTATTATTATTATAACTCAACCTTTAAGCGAGGGCTGACTCACAGTACATACTCTTAGTATTAAGTAAACATTTTTAAATTTATAAATAAAATTGCTGATGTTCTCTGGTAATGAACAGATAGATCAGAAGTAGCTATCTATTATAACAAAAGAAATTTCCCATATATAAAAATATACTAAAAAAATATATACATATATACTAACTTTTAAAGGTATCATGTGAGCAAACTTAAGAAATGTATAAGTGGTCAATATAGGCTGAAATTATTTTATTTTCTAGGCATTTAGGTTTTAAAAAAACATAAGCAAATGTGGTGAAGAAAGCTGATGGTGCCTGGCTATCAAAAGATATAGTCTGAGGTCTTAAAGGCTTGAAGGTAAACAAGTG